GCTACCTTTCTCTTTGGAGCTGACAACTTCTGATAGTTGTGTGAGGCACTGGTGCAAACCACAGCCTGCCACTGCTGGGATTTTGGAGAGAGCCTTGCCCTCTTCTCTTTTTGTGGTGCATCATGTTTGTGATATTTGGTCTTTGCTACAGTTCTGAAGTGCGGTGAGAGGGCTGGGAGGGACTTCGTGGCCCATGGCACACAGAATAGATGTTTTGCAGGTTCCTCTGGACTGAAGTCCCATTTGCTTGTCTTTGCAGGCAACTGTACATGCTGACTGTCCCACTTCTGAGTCCCTCTGTTACTGTGGTAACTCCTTCGGTGTTTCGTTGATGTGATTCTGATTTGATTGTTGCATAAATTTATTTATTGTTCAAGTCAATATTGCTAAACACCACTTGATTTTCAGGGGAGAGATAGGCATACTTGAGTTTAGTTTTATTTTTTTACCAAAATGTTGAAATCTGAGATCAAGCCATACCTCCTTAAACAAGCAACATATGTCCAGCACCTGGGACAAACTTCAGATGATCAACCTCAAACAACAGAACAGTTTTCCTGAAATTAGCCTTTGGTTCTTACACCCATAGCCATGAAAACACCCATTCCCTCCACTCAGAATTTAAAATATGAGCTCCAGGACAAATGATAATAAATGAGTCCAAATGTATTCTCTCCTCCAGGAAATGATTTACTAAGTAAGGCTGCCCCATCAGATGCTTCTCCGGGGAATGTGATGTAAGTGTAAGTGAAGTACTATCACAATAAGTGTGTGTGCATATTCCTACCAGCTCTATTAGCTGGGGAAATGTAAGTTGGGGTCAAGATGACTGTACCCTTAGGCTGACATTACATACAGTTTGGCAGGAAGAGCTGTTTTGAGTACCTTGATCACTCTGTAGATGTTAACACAATCCTGCTGGTGGTTGAGGACCTGTCCTGTTACCTGTCACTGCCTCTGCTGCTTGCTGCAAAAGGATGATACAGAGATTCAGTCACAGACAGGAAGATAGAGAATACGGGAAGGGAAGCAACTCATGACCTGCTGTGATTATTGACTATGGGAGAAGCACCCAGGGTACAAAATCAGCCCAGAAGGACAGAATAAGTAATGGTACTGTGTATTTGTGAACATTTTTCTCCCTTTCCAGAAGCTGAATATCTTTGGGAAACTCCTGAGTGACAGAGGTGAGTGAAACTGCCAGTGGGTGGTGCATGGGCATCTCTAATGCTTGCAAATCGAGCTGAGCACTGCCCTTGCCCGTCACATGTATTCTATTTATGCCACAGTAGAGGGAGCGTTGGCAAAGTATCTTAGAGGAGCAACCTTTTGTTATACCCACAGCTGCTCCCTTCCCTGTTAGTGCAACTGATACAAAAATAATCACAATAATAAGGATCATGCAGTTAATTGATTCATCATCTTGTCATCACTGCAGCCAATTCGGCCATAGCTTGGTTACTGCATCTTGTGTTCCTGTGATTTCTTATAACGAAAGAACCACCTGAAATATCTCAGGACGTTTAAGTTTTGTTCACCTGGCTGCTTCTCTCAACAGCTCACTCCACTCTGGCCTTTCTTCCATGTCTGCTAGAAGGCCGTATCGAGATGTTGATTTTTCTTGTGCTGTCCTCCATGCTCAGCACTGAGGAACTGTATTTGAAATCAGTGAGTGAGCTGTGTGTTAAGAAATAGCTCTGGCACTAAAATGTTTAAAATTACTCTTTGTTTCTCTGACTTCTCTCCTAATTTGGATTATCCAAATCTAGATTCCCCCCAGACTTGCCCACAAGATAGAATACTAAGGAAATATTGTTTTGTTTTGGTTGTTTTTTGACGTCCATATTTCTCACATTTCCTGTTCCAATTTCAAACTGGGTCTGAACTCCTCTACCAACATCACTCCGGCTGTTATTCTGGGGATCTGAGAGAGGGGATAAAAAATAAGCAAAGTGCAGGTAATGCGTTTCTTGCCACAGGTTCTCCTGGACGAGTCGGTAAAAAGTTACTGACATGTGTCTCTTTTCAGGTTAAAGAGAGGGATTAGACAAAGGGTATTACTAACATGGGACAAGGTATTAAAAAATGGATGCCTAAATTTAGACTTCTAATTTTGTATTTTGAACCCCTCAATAAGGGCTTGATCTTATGCCCTTTGAAGTCAATGCTAAAGCTTCCACTGAATTCAATCTACAAGATGAAGTTCTAAATTATGGTCAGGTTCTTAAAAGTTCTCAGCATCCCACAGCTCCAAAAAGTCATCACCCAGCCTCTTTGCAAATCACGCGTCTTCCCTTAAGTGCCTAAACACGGAGCTTACGCTTTTAGATATTCCATATTTAAAATCCTGCCTGTTGATGCTGTCTTTCTTTCTGTCTCAGGGGCCATGGACATGGGAAAGACAAGGCTAATAAAGAAGTGTGGCCAGGACAGAGATTGATTTGCTTTTTTGGTGAGCAGTGCTTAGCATGAACACTGAAGATTCATTCTATAGCAATGTCAGTATTTATTATGGTGTAACGGTAACATGGAAGGCACATGAACGTCCTTGCTGGTGCCAGAATCCAGCAAGTGCATGATCATTTGCACAGACTTAACTATATTGCTCTCCTGGTAACAAGATGTTGGCAGGTGGAAAGATCACAGGATCCCAATGAAACATAAAACGAGATGAGCAATCCTGTAGTGGTAATTTTAGAAGCTGGGTTCTGTACATTATTTACAGTACATTGTGGCTTTAAGATTATAAGGCTGCCCCTTGCCACTCGTGGATTAAATCTTTTCTGTGAGGTTTCTGTGGGGGACTTAAAACAGTGCAGCAATTGGAGGGATTTTGTGCATCTAGAGGAGTGTTAGAGTTACAAGTTATTCATGGTAGAGCTACCGTCACTCATAAAACACTCACCTAGCAGGAGAGAAAAAGGCACCTAGGACCTTCCACCAAATAAAAAGTACTGAGTGAGTTATCTGCTTGCTGCTGGTCTGAAGTGCAGAGGCCTGGCATAAAGAGGGAGTTGTTCACAGTGAACTGGGACAGAGTCGGAAGCGGCTTCTGCCTCCAGGAACTTTAATTTAGCTTTACCTTCAGTTAATGAAATAGCCCCTCTTTTTCCTGGGGAGGTTGAAGTCTCCCTGTTTCTTGGAAGACATTTTTGGCAATTGCATTCTGAACATGGGAAACTCCAATTATTTTGGATGGGTAATTATTTCCTCAGAAACCCTCTGCAACAATTTGTTAAAAAACTATAGAGAAAGTAAAGGAGAAGGGATTATTTTGCAATATTTGAACAACACCCACCACTCCTCTGTAGAAATGTAATCCCTGAGTGGAAAGGGATTATATCCTCCTCCAGGCTTTTGACTGGGCTGGATTTCTCCCCTTGCCCAGATGGAAGGCTGTGGGCACAAGGGGTGTGGGGTGTGACTCTATATCTGGGGCAGCAGAGGGGCTGGATAGGAGCCGCTCCTTGCTCAGGCAGACCTGTCACTCATCTCCCAGCCTTCCTCGGGATTAGTGTGACTAGGGTGATATCCTCGCATACTGCGCCAAGGGGCGAGAAAAAATCTTTAAAAATTAAACAAAGGGAAGAACAGGTCTAAGATCTACTGAAAGCAAAGATTTTTATTTTGGGGGGTTTTGTTTCATGTATTTCTCTCAGCCAGCAGGTGCCTCTATAGAGCCAATGCTTTGCCTGTATCAGTAGGAGCCTGTGGCACAGCACTGGAATACCTGCTTTCGAATGATAATACAGCCTTTTCTTTCTTCGGTGTCTTTTTCTCCTTCCCCTTCCCCCAGTCCATAGTAAGCCCCAGGATCTGCCAGTCTGGACTTCCACTCTATCTGCCACCTAAAGTCCTTGGAGGACGATAGCAGGAGAAAGATTTATATATGTTGACACACACATATTGTTACTATGTATGCCGTATGAGGAAATTTTGTGACTGACAGGAGCAAAGGAGCTTGGTTGGGGAATACCTGCGCTAAACCCAGCGAGCAAAGCTGCCTCTTTGCCCTCTAAATACCTTCCCAGAAAGCAGAGTGGTGTTTGTGTGGCAAAACCTTCACCCCTTTCAGTACGACACCCTTCTGTACACCAGGGCACCCACAGCCAGCACAGGCAGCCCTCTGAGATAAGGGGAGATGGCACTGGGTTAAGAGAAATAAAACCCAAAGGAGAATAATCCCCCCTTCAGCCCTTTAACACATAGGTGCTAGGACATCACGGTATCCGAAAAGCCAAGCCCTGGGGGGTGGGGTGTAGATGATTGGTTGTGACTACAATTTGTCCCCCGCTGCTCCCTCTCCCCAAATGGCTGTGCTGGACTTTGGAGTAATTCCCACGGGCAAGGTGAATTTTGACCCGAACATGCATCCATCGGCAGGGCAGAAAGGGTGGAGGAAGCAGGGCCCGCGGGGCAGCCGCCGTGGGAAGGCAGGGCAGGGCGGCTGCGGTCCCCCGTGGAGCGACGGCGGAGGGCGGCGGAGGGGGGCAACGCACCCCTCTACCTCCGTGGCCTTTTCTCCCAGCTCAGAGATGGGAGGGGAGAGGGAGGGGAATAGGCAGGGAGGGGTGGGACTTCGCCGGAGCGTCTCTCCCCGCGGCAGCGCCGAGCAGTTGCAGAGCGCCGGCGACCGGGCGGTGGGCAGGGCGCTGCGCGGAGCCGCCGCTGGAGTGCGCGGAGCGGGGCTGCCGCCGCGCCGGGGGCGAGGAGTGCACCGCGCGCCGGCGAGGGACAGCGCGCCGCGGGAGCAGCCCTCCCCGGGCACCGGGACCTGCTGTTGGCTTGCCGCCTTGCTTTACCCTCTCGTTTAATTTATTTTCCCCCACTTATACTTTGATCCGCTGGGATTTTTTTTCCTCCCTTTCCTACAGAGCCTCCTCACGCCCCAGTTCCCTCCCTCTCTAGCCAGTTTGGATTTTTTTCTTCCTTTTTCCCCCCCCCCCATATATTACTATTCTGATTTTTTTTTTTTTTTAAGCGGTGGAAAAAGTGAGGGAGAGAGAGACAGAAACAGAGAGGACAGGAGGAAAACGCTCTGTTCGTCCCCTCCGCCACCGCCACCCCGACTTGTGGAGAGGGGTCGGGCCGAGCGGCTGTGGGATCAGCCCCTTTCCCCTGGGGAGGCGACCCCGGCTCGGGGAGCCGCCGGAGATACCCGCCGCGAAGAGGGGGCTCAGGAAAAGAGATGCATTGAAAGTTTCCGCGCAAACTTTGGCGTCAGTGCGCGAAACCGAGCGAGCGCGGCGCGGGTGCCTGCCTGCCCCGACGCGGGGAGAGCGGCCGCGGACGGGCGCCGCTGTGGAGCTCGGACTGCCCGGCGGCGGGGGCCGGGCGTCGGCGGGGCGGCTGCGGAGCCTGCGCTCGGCCCGGCGGAGCGCCCAGGGAAAGCAGCAGCGGGGGCCGGCGGAGAGCCGGGCTTATGGAGGGGTGAAACCGGAGACCCCGAAGAGGAACCCCCCTTCCCCCGGAACCTTTCGCAGCGCCCGGCCGGCGGCACCCCAGGAGGCGGCGGCGGCGGGCACGGAGGAGGCGCGGGCGAGAGCGCGGCGGGGCGGCGGCGGCGGCGGGGCGGCGGCGAGGCGGAGCGCGGCAGGCCCCGCTCCGCGGCGTGCGCCGGCAACCATGAACTTTCTGCTCACTTGGATCCACTGGGGGCTGGCGGCGCTGCTCTATCTCCAGAGCGCGGAGGTAAGCGGCGGGACGGGGGCTTTTGTGCCACGCGTACCGGAGGGGGTGGGAGGGCAGACGGCCGAAAATACTTTTTTACCCCCTCTTTTTGTTTTCTTGCCCCCCCCCTGCCTCCCACCTGCTCGGTGCGGTGCCGCCACCCTGTCGGCGCCGGGTGCGGGTGGGTGCCCGCAGCGCAGGCACGTGTGCGTGCGGTGCTGCAGCTGGGGGGACAGCGCTGCCCGGATCTCCGCGGGCCTCCGGGGCAGCCGGCAGCGCCATACGGAGTGTCCGCGCACATGTGCGCGGCGCGGGGCTCCCGGGGCGGCGCGGCCGGGGGGTCCCGCCGGGGCCGGGGCGCTGCGGCTGGCGGGGCACGGAGGCAGCGCGCTGGCTTCTTGCATCAGCCTCGCCTCCCGTCCTCGGGTCTCCTGACATTGCAAAAGGGTGTTTCGGCGGTATTTGCCTTGGGTCCCAGCTCGGGTTCGTACCGCCGAGTGGAGTTCAAAATGCCTAGACGGAAAAACAAATAGAGATCAAAGAGGACAAAATGGATCCTGATTTTCTTCCAGATTGGGAAAAAAAAATTAATCAAAATACATATCTCCTGCACCGGGATTACAAAACCATGGATTTTTCTCTTCCTCTTCAGTCACTTTTACCTCATTGTCATTCCTGACGGATTAGAAACCAACTCTTTCTCCTTTTCTTTCTCTTTTTAAAGAAAAAAGAAAGGCAGCTTCCTGTGCAAACCTGTCCTATAAATCTGTTTTCTAAAGAGTCAAGAGGGCTGTGTTGCCAAGAGATATTAAGGGGTTTAGACAGAGTGCCCACGTGAAAGTGGCTGTTCGTGAGGCAGGCATGGATTACGTTTTAAAGGTTATAACAGGTTAGTTCTCTCCTGCCATTTCTCCTCGGCACTTGGAGAGAGCGTGGGCCAGATCATCTCCCATAATCATGAAAATAAACGTCGCTTGCAAACTAATCAGTTATTCACATTGTTTGTTCAGCACCGATGCTGGAAGGCAACTCCCCAATTAGGAGCCATTTCAGCTGTAACTGAAGTCATGCAAGCACTGCACGCTTTGTTTCTAGCCTGTTATATCTCTACTTTATCCACTGACAGCCGCACATTAGGCTGTGCTGGATGGGAACTGAGGCGCAGCTCTCACTTGAGCGTGGCACAGAGCAGCTCCGTGCTGCCTGCCTGCCAGATTTGGCTTGTGGGACAATTTTTTCCGTTCTCCAAGAGTTTTTCCACAGTCACCCAGGACAGGGTTTTTTTTGCCTCCCAGCTCCTCAGCAAACTTGTACAGTAGCATCTGTTCCCTAGCTATAGGTTAGACAACTGTATCAGTGTCTAGTGATAATACCCTTTAACCCTCCCCTTGTTCCTTCTCCCCTCCCCTTCCTCTTCCCCAGAAGAGGAAACGGCGGATCAGGTAGAGTCTAGATCTATCTGTCCTCAGGAGCTGCATAAAAGCCTCATGCTGCCTTTTCTCCCAGGCTAGAGGACAGTGCAGATGAGAAAATAGGGAGTATAATGGTGGGAAAAAAAGGTAGGGAAAAATTACAGGGGTTTGGGGGTAAATGTTGCAGGAACACATGCATGAGAGATTGGTAGAGGTTCGGGTACCTGGGTGATGTGGGCCATGTAAGTGCTCAGGCAGATTGACGGTGAGGTCTGCCCTTCGGTTCTGTCCTTATTTGTCCGTTGATCGTCTGGGCACCACGGTGATGGGAACGTTAGAAATACCAGCAGATCTCACGTAGGCAGCTTGACGATGACTCTGGGCATGGCAGAAGGCATGACTCTTCACGCCGGGACTAGGGTTTTGTGCTTTGATGATAATATTTATCTGTACTGTTAATCTGGCTGTCATACTGAATAAAACCTATCTAGCTAGCCAGGCGCGTTAGAGAGCGTTAAATAAAAGCTCTGGCAGAGTCTGAGTTGGGAAAGCAGGGTCCAGCATGTGCTGGGCAGCTTTCCTGGAAGTGAAGGAAGAGGGATGCTGGAATCAAGGTGTTCCTCTGGTGAAGGTGGCAGGGGGGTGACTCCTTACTGAGGGAGTTGTTACGGTCACTCCTGCAGCAAGACTGGGATGGTGGGAAATTATTTCATAGTTGGGTCTGGGTAGTGCTGATGCCACAAGTGTCTGCCTCCACTGGTGGTGATAGCCTTTCTGTGCAGGAGAGGGAGGGAAAGGTGCTTTTGCAGTGCTGCCCTCCCAGCTGATTGACTCTGCTGAGCTGTACTGAACAGTCCTCATGCCCCATGGGATCAGAGAGGTTACATTGTTGTCTCCTTCCAGTCACCCATTTCCTAAAGAATGGGGGACAGTTGGTCATTCCCCATCTTCCTTTCTCTGTGGGTTTTGCTGGCAGCCTGGTGACAAGTAACCCCTGACGAGGGTCTGGGAGTCTTACTCTCCTGCAGTGAACAGTGGAGAGACCTGGATATACCAAGTGTATTGCCACAGGCAACAGGCAGCGATTAGACACTGAGGGAGGGAGAGCAAGCCTGTGACTAGACTGCTAATGATCGCACACCCACCAGGCTCCCTGCCTTTGGTGTGCCTCTGCACCAGGCCACAATGGGGAGCCACCAGAACCTGCTTCCCCAGCCTGTAGGCAGCTGGGACGCAGCGGGTCACCTTCCCCAGAGCCGTTCCAGGCCCATGGTCTGAGGACAGGCTGGGAACAGGAGTGCTCCTGTGGGAGCAGGGGAGAGGGAAGCCCGTGCTGCCGTGTGAGGGGTTCACTGATTCCTGAGCAACCTCAAACCCATTTTCCTATCTGTTCTGTTCTGTCAGAGGTGCCTCAGCTGTGCTGGCAGTTTCTGGGATTACTGACCTCTGTCTGCATGTACAATGGAGAAGGAGCGTAGTGAGTCCCGTCCCCCCCTCCTCTAAGTAGAAACCTCTGAGAATTTCTAGTGCCTAAGACGAAAAGTGCCTTAACTCCTGTCCCAGAGTCCCTCTCAAAGTGGATGGATTGTTTGTTCCAGTCCTAAACAGTTACAAAGCTCTTTTAATGAGGCTGCACAGATTAGGGGGAGGGGAAGGGAGAGAAAGAGTGCTGGTGGTGGTGGTGAGGGGATGGTTAGAGAGGAATGACTTGATTAACCTTTTCTCTCCCTTCAGAGAAAAGCTTGCTCCCTTAGGGGAGAAGGAAGACAGGGAAGGTACAGACGCACGGATGGTGTGAAGTGGGTTTATTTCTTAGGGAGGGTTTTACTCCACAGCAGGAATGTACATTAGCTGCGACCTGCAAAGGGCACAGAAAGAAGCTTCCTCTTTGTCAGCCTCGTTCCTGGGGTCATTTATCCCACTCTCAAGGCCAGGCCAGGGGTTACTTCCACACTTCTGTGAAATGTTGAAAATCTGTTGGAAAAAAATTGAGTTACAGAACTGTTGGGTAATGCTAAAAGCCAGCAGAGGAGAATGTGACCTTCAGGCTACCACCGAAGGGCACATTGGGCCTGCTTGTCCCATGGAATGTTTTTGGTTCCCCATTGCCCTGTCTGATATGTAGCAGACTGGTTTAAAGTGAGGCACAAAACTCCCTTCACCTGCTGTTCTAGTGGACGTGCTTTGAGGGCACTAGCCACAGGTGAAAGGCACTGCTGAAAGGGCAGAAAAGTTTCTTGGAATAGCGAGCAGAGAGTGTGTTACTGATAGTTCTGGGAAACCTTTCTAGTTTCTGCTGAGAGTGCTGCTGGGAATGCTCAGAAGCTCTCTGCACACTTTGCACCGATCTCATTGCCCATCCTTGATGTGGGATCACATCCCAGGTCTAGGTGAGCACTGGAAGACTGTTCTGGCTCTTGCTCCACTACATTGCGGCAGGGCAAGGTGCTGGCTAGGCACAGGTGAGCAGTAAAAGCGTGTGGCTTGCTTCTGCTTCTCATTACTTGTACACCATGTGTGTTTGCATCTGAGGAGGTGGTGGGCTTGGCAGCCCGCTGGGCAGCCTTGCATAGAGAATGGGTGAAAATGTCCCTCAAGGTGACTCTGAGCTCATTTTGCTCAGTCTGTCATGGTCATTTTGTGTGTGAACCAAAAATCCCTCTGCGAAAAGTCTCGGGGGCATTGTGACTTGGATAAACTGACTTGGCTCGTGATCCTCTTCCTGTGCCGTAGCAGATTGAGGCTTTTCTGCCCTTGATGCGGTTTTCCTTTTACCCATAGATTGTCAGGCGCTGAGTGGCTTTGGAAGGCTGCTGCAACCTCCGCTGCCTCCATTTTGTTTGTGCTGTTGCAGTGACCTTTACACTTCAGGAATGAAACTGTTTCTAGGAACCTGCTTTTTAAAGTTTTGTCACAGCACTGAGGTTCGGCACACAGCCCCCTCCTCCCCAGAGAAGAAACAGATCCATGCATGGGGAGGTTCAGGTCTGGGCTGGTGAGTTATGCCCATGTACAGAAAGACTTTGGTTGAAATGAGAAGCAAGTTTGGTCAGGGGAACCTTAGGTAACGGGAACCGTGCACAGACACAAAGGAATGTCTGGGAGAGGGGCTTCTAGCTTGCTCTCTTGCCCCCTTCTTTTAAAAACTGACACTTTGGGCAGCTCGGATGCTGGTGCCGCCCTGTGCATGGAGCTGCCTAGAAGACCATAGGTGGCTGATTCACGTTATGAGCTTGGGGTGGACTTGGCTTTCTTAATTCAGCTCTGTCTTTGGCTGTGAGATCAGAGGGCATTTTTCTAAGCCTAAAAGCTTTGTGTGTATCACCACGCTCCTTTTGGGCCTCTGGTGAAAGGCAGCAAGTTCTGGGGTGGATGGCATCACACAGGTGGCAGCGTACCTCGGGAGAAGTGAAGAATGCTGGGCATTTTTCGTTTTGGTTCAGAACAGAACAGCAGGGGGAAACCTGATGGCTGGAAAGTTACGTCAGAGGTAAAGCCCTCACGAATAGCAGGAGGAGTGGAGTTCTTGTTTCACCTGGAATTAAAAAGACTTCCTTAGTAAAGTGGTGTAATGCTTTTCCATACAGATCTGGGGGTGGGTTACCTGTCACCACAGCTGCCTGCGTCAGTGGTTTGGAAATGCCCCTTGTCCCAAGAGGCAGCAGGAGTGAATGCGGAGCTTGCGGCCTTTCTGATTCCCGTCCAGGGGAAGCCGCGGGGAGCGCAGGAATGAGATCGACGCGGGGGCTGGAGACCGGGACCGTTAGGCGAGAGCGCGCCTCACCCTCCCTTCCAGCAGAGAGGAAGGAAACCTGGGCGGTTTGGCTGCGTCTGTCGGCAAAGTGGTGCTGTCACAGTTAATCGCCCTGACACCCGGCCAGATGCCGACACCTCGGTGGCCACCACTGCTGGGCGATAGACATGTGTGACATTGAGAGGGGAGAGATGCCCTTTCACGCCTGGCCGCCCTTCTCCCCCCCTCTGCTGGGTTCATCTTTACGGGACGAAGCGGTGCCCAGGCCCACCAGTCGTGTCGGCGGCAGCAGGTCACCCCTGTTACTTTTCTCCTCCGGGCTCAGATTTGCTCCCGGTGTTTGCCCGCAGTTACTGACAGCGGCTCCCCGGGGACGCGTGTCTCCGTTTGGGGGCCTCTCTCGGGCCCGCCGCACCGCCCTGCCAGCCCCGTCCCCAGCCCGCGGCCCTGCCGCCCGTGCCCCTCTCGGCTCCCCGGGGGACGGGGGGAACAAAAGGTCCCTCTGTGCCCGCCTGGGCGGCCAGCGGGGAGCGGCTCCGCCTCGGGGGCGCACTCTAGCGCCGGGGCTCCCTCCGCCGGCGGCGGGACCGGGGCCCTCGGCCCCTCCCCGGGATCCCCCAGCGCCCCGGGACCGCGTCATGGTTCCGTGTTGTGACTGATTCTGTGTTGTCTTTGCAGTTGTCGAAAGCTGCGCCTGCCCTGGGGGACGGGGAGCGGAAACCCAATGAAGGTAAGCGCTGGGCGGCTTCCCGGCGGGCGGGGGCGGGCGGGGGCAGGAGCCCCCAGAGCCGCTGGCGGCCACCACCGGCACCTCACGGGGAGCGGGCGCAGGGGGCAGACGGCGGGAGGCGCCGCCGCCATCGGCCCCTTCGTGGCGGCTGCACCGCCCCACGCCGCGGGCCCGGGCCGGATCGAGGCCGCCGGGGCGGCCGCGGAGCCTGGGCGGGTAGCAGGGCTGGCCCAGCCCGCTGCTGGCTTACCACAACTCAGAGGGAAACTGCGTGCGTGCGTGCGCTGGTGCACATACGCACGCTCATTTATATATATATATACACACACACACGGGCGCACACAAAGAGCTGGGTAGCAGCGAGCAGTTTGCTGGGGATTCGCCACAGTGCTGTAGGAAGGGATTTGTCATCTTGCGCTGCCCGCCTCTTTCCCGGGGGCGCTGGCAATGCCCGTCTGGGTGGCCAGGGCTGATCCCCAAACAAAGGCCAGAGCAGAAGCCAAACGGCCCCCAGGCAGCAGGTCCCCGGGGGGAGAGAAGGAGAAAAGGGCCGTCCAGGATGATTTTTTGGTCTCGTGCTTCCCGACAGTCCCAGGTACACCCCAGTCAGGATATTGCTGGGTGCTGTACAAAGCCAGGCTCGAAAAATACACCTTTTTACTCCGATTGGAGCTAACAGGCTTTGTGGGTGCAGGGGACAGCAGTGTGATCTGGTGGGTTCTATTTAATTCATTCCTGGTGGTCCAGTACAGATGGGACCACTGCCTGATAGGAAATGAGGTGGTGCCTCTGCAGCCATTGTGATTTTGTGTTTCTCCAGCTGCCCAAAGGCCAGGCTGTGGAAGTGTTCTCTGCCTTGTTGGTTTGTGAAAGTAAATGTAGATCAGAAGGGTAGTCAGCCCTCTGGGGTTGGTCAGAGATGCCTCCTGCAAACAACTTGTCTAGTGGAGCCCTGCGTGTGTCAGGAGGTTGGCTTTCTGTCCACAGTCCTCAGTTCAGCAGTGGGGTAAAAGGGCTGTGGACTTTGGAGCCTTCAGGCTGAGGTGATCATCAGGTGCTTTAGGACCATCCTGACTGTGTTTTCCCCTTACTTTCGTAGCAGAGCAGGTCACTCGTTGCATGGCAGGGTCTGGCTAGTGTCTTGCAGGGTCCCCACAGGCTGTGACCTTCAGCGTTATTCCAGCCAGAGGTCAGCAGAGGGCTCCAGCAGTGTGGCTTCAGATTGGCTTTTTTTTTTCCTTGTTTTTTCCCTTAGGTAGCAGTCAGTTTCAATTTCTGTAGCTTTATTGGTGTGACAGACTGCATGTGTGTTGCCAGAGGTTTGTGGCAGGCTGTGTTTGCGATAGGTGTCCATTTTGCATGGGTGAAGTTTCTGATTTGCTGGCAGGCTGCTGCCTGTTGCGCTTGACCCTTGCTCCTGCTGAAGTCAACAGAAGAAGGTTCAGTGCCTCCAGAGGGATCAAGATGGAGCCTGCTGTGAGGCTTATTTTGGTAACCAGTCCTCTGCTGTTGATAGAAAAGAGCTAGTGTCCTCATCTCTGCCATTCGTTGTGTCCAACAAATCCCTCCTGGAGAGGGGAAGAATCAAACAGAATTAACTTCTGTCACAAGAAGGCTGATGGAATTGCAGGAGAAGTTGGTCTGGCAGTATAAGTGGTGAGACTTAGGTGTATTGTCTTGGTGCTATTTCTGGTTCTGCAATGGATCGGTGAGCTAGAAGTCAGGACTCCTGGCATTACCTTCTGTCCTGCTGTTTGACCTTAGAGGTCCTGTCTCTATACCTCAGTTTCTCCTTTGTGAAGAGGAGACAGTGATGAGCCTCTGTTACACAAGGACAGTCGTGTAGTTCCTTCTGCTGAAGTTCTTGGGGGCTTTGGGTTTGGTGCGAAAGGTGGTTTTGTGTCTTTGGCCATTTTGTGCTTGCTCTGAGATTTCAAGTGGCGACAGGTCTTTATTTGGGATGAACTTACTCTGGTTGGAGACTGTAACTTTAACTTCAGCCCCTACCCTTTTGTGCTCAAGAGAGCCTTCCACATGTTTTGTGGCACGGGAAGTTGTAGAGGAGTCAGACAAACACTCTTTGTTCCATGAGAAAAGATTTTCTGGTATAAATAAAGGAAACCACCAGCACTTGTGGCTGCACTTTTATTTTTAAAAGAACAGCGTGTCTGTGTTGCTCCTAAGCCATTGATGGGGAGGGAGGCAGAATGATCATAGACTTTCTCCTTTTCTAGTCCAGCATGTTCCCACTTGACTGCTCCAAATTTGGACTGAATCCTGCCTGCTGTGTCTATGTCTACCTCGAAGAGTTAATGTGGGCTCTGACTGAGTTTTAACCTTGCTTCCCTCTCCATTCACAATGAAGAACCTCTGACTCAAATCTGGAGGTGTTTTGCAGGGTAGGGGTGTGGGTTAATTGCAGGATTAACTTCTAACGTGGGCTGAAGCCCAAATTGCAGGAAGGGAGCAGGCCAAGTGGTGTTAGTCCTTTGGTGACCTTCCTGTGCTTCCCCATGAAAGACAGACCTTCTTCCGTCCCTGACACGGCTAATGGAAAGGAAGCACAGACTGAATCAGCCTGGCAAAGTGTGGAATATGACTCCCAGTACATAGGGGTAGAAGTGTAGGTATGGTAGCAGGGGCAGGGCTTTGCTGTGGGGATGGCTGTACCTCAGTCATGTGCTCCAGTTTGGTTTGGGTGCTAACTGTGCAAATGAACTATGGAGTGTTGCACAGTCTCCATGTGCAATGTCTTGCTCTGTGTCCGGCTAAATCAAGGCAACATACCTTTCTTGGTAGGATTTTCTGACTGACAGCTAGGGAAAGATTCCCTGTTTCCTTTTCAGAGGCTGATTCAGACTTTGTAAAATCATCATGTGTTAAAGTAAAGGTGAAAACTCCTGGATTCTTTATGGGAAAGATTTGGTCTTGTCATATCTTCCAGATCTCAAGTATAGTTGTTGGGGTGCAGCGGTGAAAGTAAAGGCTCTGCAAAAGAAGTTGAATGTGCTGTTCTGTGGCCAATCTGTAGTCTGGATTCTCTGGTGTAATCCAGCTGCTTGGGTAGTGCAAACATTTAAAAAAGTGTGTAAGGCATTGATCAGTTTCACTTCAGCTTTCTACTCTGTTTTGGTTTCTGCCTTCTTTATGCCCCAGACTGGTGTGGTGGGGAGCATTTGATCTGTACAGGTAACTGATGCTTTCCCTCTCTCTTACCTTCCATCCCTCCCCTTGATGTAGATCTGTAAGCATTTTTATCCAGAACTGTGCCTTTTCTGCCAGAGTTCCCAGATCCTTTCTGCTGGCACAATGTGAATAATCAACAGTGCAATTCAGCAACTGTCATTGTGCTTGCAGAATTTCCCACATATTAAATTGTTCAACTTGTTGGAACATAGGCAGTAACTAAAGTCACTCTGAAGGGGAACAGGAAGAATGAGGTAGCCACAGACAAGATAGGAGAATAGATAGGAGATATACTGCACTTAGGGGAGGAGGGAAGAGGAAGGGAAGGAACGGGGAACAGAAACATGCTGTCTTCTAGACAAGGAATACCAACAAGCAGTCCATGCCTGCCAGGCTACATTTCCCTTTCACAGACCACTTTCTCTTTTAATAGCCGCTCACGCTCTCTGACACTTCAAACTCCTTGGATGGAAGCTCCTCCCCTCTTGTACCTGCTCTCATCACTTCAGCACTGGGGCACTGTCAACCCTGCATGACCTAGAATTAACTTTCAACAATTAACTGCGGGCTGTGAGCTCCAAGCCCTGAAGCTTTTGCATTTTTGTGGCAAAGTAACCTTTATGCCAGTTTGTCACAAGTTCAGGGCACTTTAGAAACGCTTACTGGAGACCATTATTTTCCATGATGCAAGCAGTTTGCTCTTATCACTCTGAGTTATCAACCTTGGTGCTGTAGGACTCTGCATACTGTACGGGTGGATCATTATAGTGCATAACAGCATGGGGCAGGTACTATCTCTTTGTGTGTACTCTTATCCTGTGCTCCATTTGAGACATCCTCTGTTGCCAGCATGCTGGTAGAGCTAGGAGGTCTGGAGGGCTCCAGGTACTCGCTGTTTGCAGTAGTGTGCTAGCACCTGGGTTTTGTGCGTGTGTACTTATCTATCCTATCTCTCATCTCTTTAAGTCTCTCCAACCCTTGACCAAGCAGCAAAATGAAGCTTTGGCAAGAGACTGGGAAACATTGAGAAATGCTTGTGAAATCAGTGCAGATCGCAAGCAGTTAATGTTTGCTCCATTCGTAGGGAAGGGACAGGATAATGGCAGATCCACCCTGTTCCCTCTCCCACACTGTCTCATTGTGGTTCAGTAGCCAAATATATAGTCTAGTTAATCCTGGGGGTCCTGTGGGCTTGCTTTGAATCTTTCAGTGAGTGACTTGATTCCTCGGTCTGGGAAAGTGGTCAGCGTGGAGACACGGAGGCTGTGACTTGTAGGGTGCTGTTGTGGCTCAGAGGTGGCCTGCTGAGGTGCATGTCCTGCGTGGGCAAAAGAGGTAGCTGACAGCAAGAGTGAAAATACATAGCTGCATGGTTCAGAACCTCTGTTTGTTCTTGAAAGCGTCTCTGTGCCAAGGTCTGTACGAGGGATCCTTCTGGCTTATTCCCTTGCCTTCTAAAACCCACTGAGGCATCCACTGGCTGTTTTGAAAGGGGGTAAAGGGCAAAGGGGTGAAGGGCCTTAATCCAGAGTGCAGATCATCTGCTGCAGCTTCAGGTGCTTTTTGGCTGATATGCTTAGTGGCAGCATCCCAGGAGTATGGGGAATAGCACAGAAGGGGTTTGGGAAGAGTCACCTGTGGCACGCATCAGGGAGACAAATATTGAGGGTCTCTTGTCTATCTCGCCGCTGCCCGAAGCAGCTTTAGGAAGAGATTGTCTGTTTCTCTTCCCCACCTATGTGTGTGTGTATGTAGGACACAGACAAAGGACTTAGGCCTGCAAGACTGTTAGTGAAAAGCACAGGGTAGTTGTGTTGCAACTGTCTGGCTCATTTTAAGGGGCAAAGCACTAGACATTCTTGAGCTAAGTTTTCATTAACTTATTCCCTGCATTCCTCCTTTTAGTTATCAAATTCCTGGAAGTCTACGAGCGCAGCTTCTGCAGGACAATTGAGACCCTGGTGGACATTTTCCAGGAGTACCCTGATGAGGTGGAGTACATATTCAAGCCATCCTGTGTGCCTCTGATGAGATGTGCGGGTTGCTGCGGCGATGAGGGCCTAGAATGTGTCCCTGTGGATGTGTACAACGTCACGATGGAGGTGAGGGCCCAACTTGCAATCTGCCATGCTTGATTGGAAGGAAGCAAGTCAACCATCACAACCACTCTTAAGTCCCACCTCCCAGCTAATTCAGAGGAAGGGCAGCCTACCCCAGGGAAACCCTCTCCTGACCCTGGTGCCCAGTGTTACACCATGCAGGGCTAAAAGATGAGTTGCCTGTGTCTGTCTAAGGCTAAGAGGAGAATCTGGTTTTGGCTCTTGTCCAAATACAGTAGCTAGGAGGATGCAAAGCAGCATTTCTGCAAAGGAGCACTTTGTGCTTAGAGAATGCAAAGGAACATTTCCAGTGGTATTACCTCTGAGTTCCCAAAGAAGATACTCCTTGGGCCTTTGCTCCACTTTAACTCTGCATTTGGTACATACAGCTGTTGTTCTGAAGGCAGCTGAGTAGTGCAAAAGGGGAGAACCTGTCAGTACTCTCTCCTGCAGGGCATTTGAGGTCAGCCTGTACCAGGGGTGCAGGGGATTTGTGTCATTAGCTATGCTGGCACAGCAGGGATGAAAGGGGCTCTAAGAAACACACTGCTTCAGTGTCAAGTGTAAAAGCCTTTCTGCCTCTGGGCATCTTCCTCCTTTGTTTGGAGGCTGTTGAATTCATTCCTTGGAAGAGACAGAGATGGCCATGATTGCAAAGGCTGGGCAAGTGGGGAAGATGCAAACTGCTTTAGAGAGCTTTATTACTGCCCTTTTCTGTCAGCCTGGATCCCAGCTTGTGTCCAAAATGGTGCTGGTGCCCATTATCCATAACCCACAGCTCCCTCATCTACTTTTGTCCCTCAGGCTCTTGAACAGCCACGGTAAATATTACCATCACTTTTTGATATCGATGAGAGATTTGCAGTGCTGAGTGATTACCCAGCAGGCTCTTTTTACTTGTTATTTGAGCTGTATTTAAACTCTGTTGGAGAACCAGTCTGTCCCTTTCCATGGTTCCCCATACTGCTTTTCCCCTTGCGGGCTCCAGCCTGGACCAGAGCATACTAGCATGATGTAGCTAGGGATGGTTTTCTTCCTACCATTCCTTGCTGAACTGCAGTTCTTGGCTGGTATGCCTGCATGCCTGTAAAGGGTCAGAGGCTCTTAAGCAGTTCTCTGGTGAAAATGCTAGAGTGGTCCGGACATGTTCTGGGTTGAGAGACTGTGACAACACTACATATCTTCTAATATAACTTCCCTGGAGGCACCTGAGATTGGGAGCTGGGTAATGTCTGGCTCTGCAGGGCTCTTCTAAGCACAGATCTTCAGATTTATTTTGTGTGTTGAGTCACTGAGAAAGTGAGATGTCAGCTGGGAAGGTATGGCCTAGGGAAAAGGAGTCAGATATGCTTTGGGCCTGTGTGTTAGCCTGAAGTACTGCTTCTGTGGGAGCAGGCTGGATGTTCTCTTACTGCTGCTCTAGCATCAGCCAGGGATGGCTCAGTGAGAACCTTGCTATGGTGTTATGCCCTCTCCCGTGCCTGTCTCCAAGGCAGTCCACTAGTGCTGGCACCTGGCAAGCATGAGCAAACAGAGCTTTGGCACAAGTCTGGTGTTGCTGCTGCTTGCTTGTGATCAAAGGCCTTCCCTGACTGGGAGAACAGGGCCTCAAAGCTAGCTCAAACTCTGCCATGCTTTTCCCATGAGCACCTGGGGTGCAAATGCTTTGCTGTGCAGCAGGCTGCTTTGGAGTTGTGAATATGAAGACTGAATGGGCAGTGACCCTCTCTGTTTCTTTCATTCCAGATCATGAGAATTAAACCCCATCAGAGTCAGCACATATCACACATGAGCTTCTTACAGCACAGTAAATGTGACTGCAGGTGAGAATGGAGCAGCACTGGTTCCTCTTGCAATAAACTTATTCTGAGCCTTTGCTTTTTTCTGCCTTTGGGTTGGGACTGTTGTTCAGAGGCTTCTGCAGTCTCCTCACTTGGTTTGCAGTGGGATGGCCAAGCCTGGGAAAAGAAATCCTTTGCTGGCAGGGCTCCTCCATCTCTAGCTATCACAGGTGGACAGTGCTAGTCTGCAACCTGGGGTCTTTTGGCACTGGTTGCCAGTGAGGTGCAACAGGAGAGCAAACACTTTGAGACGGATGACTTAACCTGTGCCATGGGCATCCTACAATGCTGACTGAACATGTTTTTCCCTGGACTTGGTGGGAACTGGGGATAATACTGGAAGTATACGTGGTAAGCTCTTTTCTAATGAGACCTTTGTTCTCTCTTCCCCCACAGACCAAAGAAAGATGTCAAAAACAAACAAGAAAAGTAAGTGACAAGCCTTTCCTCCTTCCTCTTTTGGTGGTTGGTTGGTGTTTCCTTGCCCCACTGCCCCTTGCCCTTTTCTTTGGTTGGAGATACTCACTTTGAGAAGGTGTTTTTGGAAATGGCGTATGGTAGTGCATGGAGCAACACTCTGAATCCATTCCAGGTGGGCACAGAAACCCAGATCTGATGGTCCTTCCTTCATACCCCATGACCCATGGCCATGGCAGTCATTCCTAATGCATTATCCCAAGTCAGGGAAATGTCGTCGTGTCTGTCCTACCAGTATGGATTCAAGGTGCAGCCCCCATTCTCCCTTCCCTCTTTCTGGGGTGTTTCTGGTTACTGCAAATCGCTGCCTTTCTTTATTATTAATTTTTTTCTTGCTGCTTGAGTGAGTACTTGCTGGCTTCTTTCACAGCAGCTTGGGTAGGAACTTTGCTGGCTACAGGGAGAGGTGGCAATAAAGGCCTGGTGAGGCAGGACTGATGCCATGCAGGATGTGACACTGGTTTTGGTTGGGTGGGGACCTGGGAGGATATGAAGGGAGGTGGACGTCCTTGCTGGGTCTTGGCGGAGGCTTTCATAAGGGTTTTTTGCAATCTGATGGATTTGCTCTGGTGATGTGAAAGAGGCTAAGGCACAACCTTCCCTTTACTTCTTCCCCAAAGTAAAGAGGTTGTGGAAGTAGAAATATAAGCTCTCATCCTGCAGTAGTCTGAGGAATGAGCACAAAATGTGAAACACTGTCGAAAAGAAGGAATGACCTCTCTGGGTGAGAGGGTCAGCTGGACTGCGCATGACTGGGAAAGCAACTCTACCATTTAGAGGTGCGGAGTTGGAAAGAAAGGGGTGAATATTTGGAGATGAGGCTGAAACAGAGACAGAGGGAGCAAACAGGAGAGTGAGAGAACTTCTTTCACCCCTCTCCTGGTGGTTGTATATTTCTAGCTGCCTTCCAGCCTCTCCTCCTCCCCCTGGAAATCTGCTCCTGGCTGCATCGGGCTGTGTGCAGCCAACACTCCTCTGTGCGCAGGGCCGTGTTGGGGACGGTTGGTCTGTGTGGCACTGTGGTTTGAAGGTGTGCAAGAGTTTGGTCTGTGTGAACTCTGGTTTGGATGGGGTGTGGGTGTAGCAGCCAGCTCCAATTGTGTTGCATTCACTTTCCTCTTCTAACAGCACCTTGCCTGCTCTTTGCTGGTTCTGCACTCCCCAGGGAAGGAAGGGAAGGGATGGGAGAGGCTGGTGTACTTTGATTTGTGCTGGATTGAAAGTCGTTGTATTGGTACCCCTCTCCTCCCTTCAGGTTGATTTTCCTCCCCTCGCCATCTCCCTGTGACTCCTGCCTGACATGTCGGGCAGAACCAGGATTGAGCTGATGCTCTGACACTTGTTCCAGTGAGATGACTTGAACAGGGCCTAGGAAACACCTATGGTGCTTTCTCTTCTGCCTCTCAATTCCCTTTGACAGCTCTCTCCCAAGGTAGGCTGCAACAGGGAACGAGGGAGCCTTTGCAGAAGTGCCTCAGAACTGGGACTCGTTTGCCTGAGAAGCCCTAGTGCTTTGCCTAGGGCATTCTCCTTGGATGTCTCTCCCTTGGTCCTGTGCTAGTGTGGCTCAAGGAGCAGCACAGGCTCCAGCCTCCCTTGCTCCCTGTGCTCTCAATGGCCTATAGGGATCCATGGTTAGTGTCCAGGACTGCATGTCCTAGCCCTTGCCTGTCCCAGCTCCTGCCCAAGAGTCAGAGGCAACTGGTGAATTTCTCAGAATGGAGTCAATACCTTGGCTCCATCTGCTTGTCTGTCTGGCAGATCCTTGTGGAAGGTGACAGGAAGGAAAGGAGGGAAGAACTGAAAGCTGCTTGCTGGTTATCTCCTGAGTAGAATAACTAAGTCAGTTTTATCCCTCTTTCCCCTTCAGTACTCAGGATGGAGACTGCCAGAGGGGATTTCAGACATTCAAGTAGGGTGTCCTGGAGTCCTCTGAACCACAGGCAGGAAGTGGGGTGGATGAGCAAAGCCTTCAGGTTAGATAGCCCTCTCCCACACAGCAGTGCTGTGAAGACCAGATCTCTCCCCTTGTCTGTGGGTTGCTGAGGCCAGGCTCCCATCCCAAGGCAACATTGCCACCAGCCCTGCAGCAGAGCTGTTGGAGCTCAGCTGCTGCCTAGACCCAGTGTCAGGCAGTGCATCAGGTCAGAGTGGTTTCCTTTTCCCTGGAGAGAACCCTTTCACTCAGGTTGCCTCTTGCCGATTGGTGTGCGCCCGTGCTTGTTGCCTGGAATGGTTGTCTGCGCTCACTGCAGTTGCGTGATGCTTTCACCAAGCTTTCTGTTCCTTCTCCCTCACCCCCTGTCCCTTTCCCACTGCCCTTCTCAGAGGGGGCAGGTGCCCATCTGAGTCTTCAGCAGATCCACCTCTGCTCGCAGCAGCTCTGCTGGAGGTGGTCTCTGCTGAGTACCCTGGTTTTGACTTGGCTGTGGTGCTGACCGGAGCGCCGGAGGGCCAGTGAATGTGTGTGCAAGGTGGAGATCTGTGCTTCGGCCCTGGGATTTACCCTCCAGTCCTGCCTCATGTGCTGCTCCCCTCCCAGCAAGGCACATGGCTGTATTTTTTTTCTCTTCTTCCTTGCGTTTTCTTCCATTTTCTCTCTCTCTCCCTTTCTTTCCCCCCCTCTCTCTCTTTCTCTTTTTTTTTTTTTTTGTTTTTCTTCCAGAAAATCAAAGCGAGGAAAGGGGAAGGGTCAAAAGAGAAAGCGCAAGAAAGGCCGGTACAAACCACTCAGCTTGTACGTTTGTGTCCTCTGCTTGTAGAGTCTCTTCCCTCCCTCTCCCCAAACCAATCTGCCTGCTTGCTGCTCACTCAAATCTCACCCTCCCCTCCCAGTCACTGGTGGGCCACGGATCCTGCAGGGGCGGCACTGGTGGCGGCACCGCTCGCGGCACCGCTCTGGCACTAAGGCTGTCTCAGGGAAGGCGGCTCTAGCTTGCTTGGCTCTCTAATCATCAGTGGCGACTATTTTCCCAAGGCACAAGAGTGCGGGTAGATGGGCGAGTGCCTTGCACCTCTTCATACCTTCCAACTCACCTGCTTTCCCCCACTCGTCTTGTGCCCTCACTGCTATGGCGACTGGTGACAGACAGGCTGGCATCTGCCATGCATGTGTGTGTGTACGTGTGTGCACACGTGTGAGTGTGTGTCTGGTGGAGTCACAGGTGGAGAGGAGAGGTGGGACAGCGGGAAGCTGGAGAGGGGGTGCTGGGGAACTGGGGCGGGCGCGCTCTCTGTTGTTTTTTTTTTGTTTCTCTCTGCTGGATTTGGTGGCTTCTCTCTCACTGTCTCTTTCACTGTCTCTTTTGTTCTGCCTCTCTTATGGTGATTCACAAAATTCTGCATTGTTAATTCACGGCTCCTCTGTAGGAGACTCCTAGGTGGCAGGGTTGAGATGGGGCTTACAAAAAGGAGGGCAGTGCCAACTGCAGGGGTAAACTACTTTCCAGGGGAGCAGAGACCCTGTGTATCTAAAATTCATTTAGTCACTGGCCTCTTTCTACTCAAATAGCCCACTTCAGAGAACTTCTTTCATTGATATGTCAGTAGCTGGCTGGGACCTCTCACCTTCCCATCCTTGCTTTCCCCTTCTTCCTCCCTCTGGCCTGAGCCGATGGATCCAATGCAGCATTTGTGAATACTGTGCAGAAGGCCTGTTTTCTTTCTCTTTACGCTAATGCAAGGGGGTGCTGTCCTGGGGCTGTCAGAGTGCTGCTGGAAAATCCACCAGCCTGCGACACTCCAGTGGGCAGCATGGGGGCTGCGGGAGGGGGCAAGGGGATTGCTTTGATGTTTAGGGTGTTGCATGTGTATTTTCTTTCTGCTGAAGCGCTGTAGCTTAGACATCTTTCCTTTTGCCTTTTTGCAGTCACTGTGAGCCTTGCTCAGAGAGGAGAAAGCACTTGTTTGTACAAGATCCCCAGACCTGTAAATGTTCCTGCAAATTCACAGACTCACGTTGCAAGTCGAGGCAGCTTGAGTTAAACGAGCGCACTTGCAGGTTTGTGTCCTGAAGGATGAAACACACAAAGAGAAAGAGAGAGAAAGAGAAAGAGGGGGGGAGCTTGCTTCCTGCTGACTTCTGGCACCAGTGCTATATGGTTACTTCTTTTCTCTGTCCTACATGGGCCAGAGGGCAGAGGGGCTAACTGGGATGAGGACAGATTTTCCCTGGTTCAGAGGGCAGCTGTGCGTTTCAGATATGCTGTCAGGACTTGGACGGGGATGGCTCCCTGAGACAAGGCATTTCTTTCTCAGGTATCCTGTATCGTAGAACAAGATAATGGAGTTCATGTTGCTGAGGTAGCCAGGGGAGGATCTGTAGCCCTCTGTACATTATCTGTACGCGACTCTGAGTATACTGTTGGACAAAGACAAATCCTTGACTGACTAGGATTTAATCACCCCTGTCTTCCAAGCCCTTTTTCTGCGGCTTGTAGATGAGATGCTCTGCTGTGTGCAGAATGAGGAAAGTCAACAGGAGCCTCCTCAAGGCCGTGCCTACATTTTCCTTTGCCTCTTTGTTCTTCTAAAATCCAGGGAGACCATCCTGTCCTCTTGCACTGTGCTCACAGTTCCCTGTCCATGTCCTGTCCAGAGCTGTGGTTTGAGGGGCAGCATTCAGGTCTGTGACATGGGATACAGCAGGATTAAGTCTGTCTCTGGGTGAAGGCAGAGATGCGTATTCAGGTGTGAGGTGGGAGATGCAAAAGCACTGTGGGGTTGGTGTTTTTTTAAAGACCCATGCTGTGCATGTGTCATCTGAGGACTGTCACACACCATCTGTGGCATAGACACGTGCAGAAACTGATTCTTGTTTCCCGTCTGAGCACTTTGGTGAACTCAGTGGGGTATCTTGACTCGCACAAGGTATGTGTGCATCTCTGGTGTAGGATCATCCAACCTGTCTAGAGAGAGACATAGAAATGGGGTTGCTAATGAGCCCTTGGCTCTGACTCTGAACTCAGATCCTTTCCACAGAGATCTAGGAGATGAAAATGCTTTGTGCCCAAACCAGAGAGGCCTTGGCACTGCCAGGGTGGTAGAAACTGCTCTGTATACAGAGAATTTTTCTGAGATGCTTTAATTTCAGTGGGAGAGTAATTGATGGAGGGGCCAGAATAGAGCAACTTCTGGAGTTAAACTTCTCCTAGTGAGCAAAACCCCTGAAGCCTGAAACCTTTGGCCTTTTTCCCCCTGCTGCTGTCCCAAAGCCCAGAATAGCTGAAAATTACCCCACAAAGTTTGAAGGGTGAGAAATAGTAACAAATACAAAGAAAAGCCAAACAATAGCCCAAGAAGTCATGGTGACAGAAGGGGTTTACTAATTTCACTGTGATGGGATAATTGGCACTAAGGGAGGTTGGTGTGTTGGCCAGAAAAATAGGAAGGAGTCATAGGAGTGGTTAGATTTTCAGTTTCCGGATAAAAAGCTGATTAAGCTGAAGTTCCTCATGCTCTTTCTTAGATTTAGAATTGGGCCCAATGGGGGAGGACAAATTCTCATTTCTCCTGCTGCTTCTTCAGGCTGCTGCTGTTCTCTGGTGCTAACCCCTGCTCATGGCAGCTAGTGGAATGAAAGACACTTACTTTTCACCTTCTTGCCTGCATGAGGCCTTGTTGGCTGCATTGCTTCCGACCCAAACAAGAGGCTAGGCGGAGAGCTGAGGGGTTGTGTCCTTCTGCATGCATTGCTTAGCCTTGTTTTTCTGTGTGTTTGTGTGTATTTGTGTGCGCATGGTGTGAAAGGGTGCAAACAAAACACTCAGCTCATCTGTGAGGAAGCCACTGATTCTGCTCCTAAATTTACCCCTGTACGAGTATCTCCCCCCACTCCGTATAGGTGAGCCTGGGAGAGTAGAATTCATCGACTGATTCGTGGGACTGAGATTCTCAGCTGATTTGCCCCATCTGCACAGTATTTCACCCCACCAGTGACATCATGCCATGTCTTAACACCATGTGCTCTTAAACACAGTAGCCACCCCTTCTCTGTCCTACTTGCACCCTCATCACAAAAATTAACCCCATTCTCTTTTTTTCCTTCCCTCTCCTCTTTGACAGATGTGAAAAACCGAGACGGTGAGCAGCGGAAAAGAAGGGGGAACAGCCCTGTTTCTGGAGCCTGATTTCTCGCCTGGACAGAAAAAAACAAAACACTAATCCAAATGAACCCTAAAAATGAAGGATCGGTAGAGCACAGCACTTTCAGTACGGACGATGGACTCCGGAAGGAACATTCCCCAAGGCACCCGCCGCACAGAATTCACCTTTGGGTTTTGAACTGTTTTATTTTATTTTTCTTTTCATGCTGCTAAATAACAGAGCCAGGAAGACTTATAGGGGTGTATTTGATGGGTTTTCCCATGCATACATATATATGTGTGTATACATGCATATACATATATATATATGTATATATATTTTAACCACATCTATATATACATATATGTATATCTTAACCACACACACACACATATATATATAATATATATATATATACTGATTATTTTTTTTAACATTGCTAATGTTATTGGTGTCTTCACTGGATAATACTCGACTGCTGTGGACACAAGCGGGCTACTTGGGGCATAAGAAACAAGCTAAGACTGGACTGAGTAGAAGCGCTGGGTGTAAACTTCTTAACTCTAACTGACTTGTGCGGCCTCCGCTGTTTCTCTGTAGAGTGTGCTGTACCACAAACCACCTTCTCCTTGCCTAGGACAGGGAGGAGAGGTGATGGAGAGGATGGGCAGGGAGTTCCAAAGAGCGGCATCCTAGGGTGGTGCGATGGGTCAAAGGCCAAGGAAATGGCCGTCTCCGTGATCAAGGATTCCTCCTCCCCTCTCTTCCCCCAACCTTCGCCCTTACTCGTCTCATAATCTGCCTGCCTTGATGGGACATGGGATGTCAGTGTACATTTTGCGTTGACTTTATTTGCTATAGAAACTTTGCCAGAGAGACATGCTGGCTTCTCTTAAGGATGGTGGGCAGCTGATGCGCACTAACTTTCCATTCACGGAAGTATCACAGGAGTCTAGATTTCCCGCCCTTGGTGGCTGCAGAAGGACACAAGGTCTACAGTGTGCTGAAGCAAGAATGGGGACCGGTGCATAGCCACACAGTTGTTCAGCACTGTCTGCTTTCTTCATGCACAGAGCTGCCACTCAAGAGCATCCAAGATGCTTACGGAACATTTCTGGAAAGGGATATTAATCAAAAGTATATACACAGTAGGGGGTGTGTGTGCGTATGTATGTGAAAGTACGCATTTGTGTCTGTGTGTATGTATGTGTGTATGTATGTATGTGTTTTTCTCTCTTTTTTATATATATATATTTATTTTTATACATATATATATATAAAAAAATAATATATTTGTATGCCAAGATTGAAGGGGGAAAAAAGAAAGGAACTTTTGCTGCCTTCAGTTTGCGTGCCCAGTGTGAATGACCCTTCAGAACGTCAAGACTTTTTTTTATGACATACTGTAAATATCAGGCCCCTTTTCCACATCTTGAGCTGGGGAATCAAATGTGAAGGCAGGCAGAGTCCCTTAGCCATGTCATGAGAATCTTGGCTATGTGTGTATCGGCAATATACACTGTGGTGTATGTGAAACCCACCTTACACATGCGCGCACACACACACACCCCCCTGAAAGTGTGTTTGTACATCTATGTGGATATATATAATCTAGTTCTGTGATTAAAATTATTATTATTAATAATAATAATCAAAAAGGTACTCGGTCTGTGTCAGAATGCTGCCAAACATCATCTGCAATTGTATTTTCAACGCCTGATAATGTACAACACGGAAAGCTTCCAAAAAGACAAGACAGTCTAAAAACAGACTCACAACAAGCGACTACTAACCACTAGGATCTCCCCATCCAACCGATGGCTTTCAGAAGGAGAGAAAACACATGGGTGGGTGCTTGCATCTGCAATGTATAATACTCATGCTGCATCGTGCGCAAGACAGAGGCTTCCGATCGGGGGGAGGGAAGAGAAAGTGTTTTATATACTTATTTAATATCCCTTTTTAAATTAGAAATTAAACAGATAATTTAATTAAAGAGTAGGGATTTTTCAGTATTCTTTGTTAATATTTAATTTCAACTATTTATAAGCCGTACCTTTTTTTTTTTTATTTGTACTTGTTGTGTATAAATTTAACCTTCCTGTTGTCCCATCCCTTATCTCCCCAATTGTTGGCAGAGTCAGTAGCATGTTATGGGCAGTTATTTAATTAATTTCTCTAACACCTACCCCTACACATTCCTATTGAGACAAGGGTTAGATATACATCTACATACTATATATATATTTGGCTATGTGTTTGTATATATATATATGTTTATGTATATGTGTGATTCGGATTAAATAGACGCTACGATTTTTTTATATATGTAAAAAGAAGAAGCAGGAAAAATAGAAAATTCTACATCTTGAATCTCTCTCCTTTTTAATTTTAATATTTGTTATCATTTTATTTATTGGTGCTACTGTTTATCTGTAATAATTGCGGGGAAAAAAGATATTAACACTACATATTGTGTCTAGTGAATTTTTTCAAGATATTCCTTAGTACATATTTATTTTTAAACAAAAAAATTACAGATATATCTTAAAAAACGACGACGACGACGACAAACAAACTTTTTTTTGTATTAAAGAATTTAATTCTGACCTTGATTTCCTTTGCCTTCTCCTTCTACCTTGCATCCTGGTTTTCTTCCATTGTGTAACAGTTCCTCCAGTATTGCCTCTGGAGGCTACAGGGCATCAGCAACCTGCTAGTTGGACTCTTGGATTCGGGCACAGAGCCTCCAAAAGCATCTAGGTACCAAAGCCCGTAGAGATGACTGGGAGGTAGGCACCAGAATCCCTGTGTGGAGCTCAGCCCGAGTTCCCTGCTTGGTGAGAAGAGGGTGGTCTGATGGGCAGGACCGAGGGGGCAGAACTCCTGGGTTCCTTCCCAACCTGATGCCAAGGAGTGTGGTGATGGTCCCAACCCTGCCTCTGTCTTGTCCAGGAACCAAGCCCTGTGAGCTGGGCACTATACAGGCGATCCCGGTGGAGCTTACAATCCAAGATGAAAGCAAGGCTCTGAGCCTGCTCTTCCTGGTAATGGACTTGGTGTTTGCAGTTGGAGTAGTGTGTATGTAACCTGCTGTCAGTAATGGTTTGGCATGACCTCCTCATCCTGGACAGCACTGAACAAAAACCAGCTCTGACCATGCTCATCGCTTCATGAGGGATTTTGATACTGTTGCATCTTTTATGATGTGCTTTGGGGTCTTTGGAGGAAAAACTCTTCGACAGCAGTGTCATTTCCTCGTCAGCCATGGAGATGAGTGTGTCATGTGTCAGTCATCTGGCCACGCTGGAAAGGAGCACGCAGGATGTTTCTGGATGTCTGGGAGGTGACTCACTCAGGTTAATACAGACCACCGAGTTCATGGCTGCATTGTCCTGCTCTTGCAAAGGTAAAGGATCTGGCTTTTATTTTGGATGAACTCAGGTAGCTCAACAGGTGGATCTGCAGTCACTTCCTCTGCAGAGAGCAGAGCGGAGAGAAGAGGATGAATACTTGAGGATGCTCTGGTTCACTCTGTTCAGTAACATCTTGTGGAGTACAGCAGTGAGGTGAGAAGGTGAGCAAGGGCCACCTGGATGTTGCTGCGTGAGGAACCCAAGGAGTTGCTTCCTTTGCGTATTCACCACTGTGGATTTTGGTTTGTGTGGATCTATGGACTGTTTTGCAGATGGCTGTGCAAGATGGTGAAGACAGTGTGCCTATCCTCAGGAGACCTGCACTGTCTCTATATGACCTGGGAAATGTTTACAAGTCATCAAATTGGAAAGATTGAAACTGGCAGGTCAGTGTTGCTCCCCTGGGCTGAGCTGGATGTGAAATCTCAGCGAAATGTGACCCAGGTCTCCCAGATGGATGAGTCAGTGGGTTCCTACTGTCAGTCACAACACATGAAACCCTGCCCACCAATGACAAGCTGGGCTGGCTGCTCCTGGTGCCTGGAGGACAGGAGCTCTTTTTCTTCCTCTAAGGACTCAGGAGAAATAGCATATCTGCAGAGCCAGGTGACCTGGTAGCCACCTCCTCCATGAGACAGGCTATGCCTGGCTGGATGGCACGTTTCATCTGGGACAACTTAAAGAATTTGTTTGTGTGGCTGCAGCAGAACCAAGGTAGCTGCCTCTAACAACTGAAGCAAGAACCTGCCCGAGCCAGCTCTTAATGAGGGACCTGGGGCCCTAGAAGCAGTCCAGCTCTTCTCCTTTATCCTTCAGGGTTGATATAACTGGGATGTCACCTCTCATAAGGAGAGTAATTATAGCTTGGTGTTGGAAGTGAGCTCAGGCTGGCTGGAGAGGCTGTATGCGATTGAGGCCCCTGCTTCTGGAAGAGCTGGGATGCAGGAGTGCATTGCCCCTCACCCTGCCCAGAGTTCTCACCTGGCTTGCCTGTGCCCTATCCCGAGGTGAGGTGAGGACACAGGGAGGGAGGCCAGGTTTTCAGGCTGGCACACTGATCTCGGCATACAGCCTTTCACCCTGCGCGCGAGAAAGGCTTCTGGTCACGTCCATGTTTTGGTTGCTGGCTAATTAAAATGCTGTCTTCAGGCAGCTGGCTGGTGCTTTCCTCGTGCCTCCCACATTTATTCTGTGGGATTCAAAAAGCGGAGGCACCATGAAAGGCAGAAAAGGGTGTCCTGGACAGACAGACACAACAGAAAACCCCACTGGCAATGGAATAATGGGTTGGAAACCTGGTCCTTCTCTCACTCTTGGCACCTGCTAGCTGGTTTAACCCCTTGTTGCTGATGTCCTCTGCTCTGGGTTTGTAAGTTAGCCAGGCTTTGCTTGGGCTCCACCACCAGCTGCAGTGTCTATGTTAGAAATGCCTATAAAGCTCCTGTCCTTCAGCGTGGTCCCTCAAAGGACTTTGGAAACCCAAAGGAAATTCATTCCACAGGCCGTGTCCTCCACTGTCTGCCCGTGGGAGCTTTGGTAGTGAGAGATGGGTATTTTTATCGTAGACCATGTGGTGAGTGTACAGGCAGTCTCTGTGCTTGGGATGCCTGAAATTCAAGGCTAATCCCAATCATCCAGCACAAGGTCTGCAGTCCCAGTCTGTGCAAACACCATGCTTGCTCCCAGGTCCCCATTCGGGGCCAGGGCAATGTGGCCTCAGTGGCACTGTGCCACCCCACAGGCAGCTGCTGACCCCCCCGCTGTGCCCCACAGCACCCGATGCCGTGCATGATGGGTGGCTGAGCTGCTGGCCATCCCAGAGGAACCAGGCGCTCATGCCTGGACCTCCAGCCAAGTACTCCATATCTCATAAGAGGTGGCGAGTTGTGGATAAGAGCAGGGAGGTGAAATACCCTGCACCACCAGTGAAGGAGGGTGTGAAAGGAATGCAAAGAGCGCCTGACTGCAGCTTTGGGGGAGGCTTGCCCTTTGGTGTGGGGAGCTGGGAGGGCCTTGGGGGTTTTGCATTTAGGAGGGGACAAAGTTCAGGTTCTCCTTCAAACGTCAGTGGTTTGCTGGCTGCCTACACCAGGGTAGTATCTCCCAGAGGTGCAGCTCGCTGTGCGTGTGAGGTGATTACAGACTTATTCAGGGAAATGGGCTTGTTGGGCAAGTGCCACCTATTTACCTGCCCAAGGCTGGCCTCCCAAGGCCAAAAAAGCCTTTCCATAAGGATTTCTTTAAACTTCCTGCCTGAGCCACCTCCATACCTTCAGGCAGGCAATGCTGCACAGTGACAACTCTTAGGAAACATCTGCAGTTCTGGGCTATAGTACATTGTGATACAGGGCTAATCTTGCTGGTTCATGCTCTTTATTTTTACTTTGCCATTTCAGATGCCCCAGACACTTGTTTGGGGATGAAAAAAAAAGCACAATTCCTCACTAGCCTGAGAGTGCCCAATCATCTCTTTAGGCATCAGGGCTGCCCACTGCAACCTGCTGCCATAGGCTTTTCTATGTGTTTAGTACCAGGTAGCTCTGCTGCCCACCCCCACGGTGCTGCCTGTCTCCTGGCCAAGCCTGGTGCATGCAGCAGGGGGAAGGCATGCTACAAGCCTGATGCCAGCACGGCAGGGGTTTACTTCGGGGGTTACTTTGACACCTCCTTTGCCAGCTATTCTGAGAGCTGTTGGTGCACTCCATGCTTGTAGTGTGTTGCGTGGTGGGACCCGGGCTGGGAAAGGCATCTGGTTCTGCTCAGCCCCCTGCCAGGACTGCTGATGAGTGGCAATTCCTGCTGAACATTCCCCAGGGAGACTCGTGTAATGCCATAACAATCTGGGATGCTGGTCAGGATGTCTTGCTCCCAGGCTGTGTGGTAACTTGGAGGTGAGAAGCTTTGGCACTGGATGCCATTACCTCTGAATCTTGGTCAAATGGGTCTGAAGTGTGCAGGAAGGGTGTGATTCACGCAAGCCCTTGGGCCTTTCATGTACAACTGTGGAAGAGCATGGCATACAACCCCGTTCATTGGGAGCATTATCTAATCAAAAAGGAGAGAGACCTAACCCCTTAGCTGCAAACCCTATGCACAGTTTGGGAGAGGCAGCACAAGATGAGCAAAAGGATCAACTTAAGCAAATAATTCAGTTTCATCGCCTCTTCAGAGATTTTAAGGCCAGAAACATGACCTGTCTGAGACCTTTGCCTTCATTTGCCGATAACTCGTACTTGAGCTGTGGTGTACACTTTGGAAAGACGTCCAAGCTGCTGTCTCATTTCCTGGTCGTCCTGTCCTCACATAACAGAGAACCTGCTGGCACTGGAGGCAGCCTGTGCCATGAACATATGGATACCCAGGGAGTATATGTTTGTGTCATTGGCCTCTTCTCCAGAAGCGTGGCTCCCACCAGCACCCCTCCCTGCCCCTCCTGCCTGTCCTCAGCTCTGACACCATGAATGCAGAAGCGAAAGCCCCCATAGAGCTTTATGTTGGACTCAATCCTTTCAAAGAAACACCTCATCTGACTACTGAGAAAACTGTGCAGGAACTAACTTCTGGAAATTCAACTTCCTGTCAGTCACCTCCACTTTTTGTCTTTACAGCTTGAATTGACTCATTTCTCCTCCAAGTCCCCTTCCTTATGTTGGGCAGCTTGCTAGAAGGTTCAAGCCTTCTTTTTTTGCACTGCAAGGACCTCACATCTGGGAGAAGCTGGACACTCCTGAGCAGATCTTCTGAGTTTCTTCTAAGGTGTTATTGCTCCCGGAGATAAGGAGCCAACTCCTACTTACTTTGATTCATGTCACTACTGGAAGTGTGGCAAACGGGGGTCAACAGCACTGAATCTGATTGTTTACAGTCTTCACAGGCATAATAAATTATGAGTCATAGGATCATCCTGAGTTATTTGGTGACTAATATGAGGCTGGTCTTGAGGCTGAGGGCCAATTTCTTGTTGCAGTATTGGCTTCCCAGAGCTCTCTGTTGTGGACGTGCAGCGTAGACCTAGTCAATACACAGCAGCTAGGAGAACTGGCTGAGCTGCCAGAGGAGGTGCTGATGAGTCAGGGAGTGGCACTGCCCTCTGCACCAGTACCCCACTGGTGGCTGGATGTACAGTGCAAGAGGCTGTGACT